TATAGTCATAAAATAAGTCTCAGTAAATTTTAAAGAACTGAAATCACTAGATATTTAGAAATCAATTAACATACTTCTAAATCCATGGGTCAAAGAAATTGTAAGAAATCTAAAAATATTTAAAACGGAATAATTTAAAATGTACATATATTAAAATGTGTAGGGTACAGCTAAAACAACTTTATAAGTAGTGGTAGAGAGACTCTAGTAAGGTGGCCCTTCATTTGATCCAAGCCTTCCTATGTTTCCACCTTTGCATAATACCCTCCTCCTTGAGTATGGGCAGGAACTTAACTTGCTTCTAGTCAACAGAATATAGCAAAGGTGACAGGATATCACTTCCCTGATGACATTATATTATACGCGCCGACTCACTCTAAAGATTCTCCTTGCTGGTTTCATGAAGTAGGAGACACTCTGGCAACATGGCCTCCAGTCAAAGAGTCAGCAAAAGGCTGGGGCCCTCAGTCCTACAACTGCAAGAAAATTAATTCAGCCAACAACTGGAATGAACTTGGAAGCAGATTCTTTCCAAGTCAAGCCTCCAGATGGAGAACACAGCTTGGTGGACACAATGATTACAGCTTTGTGAAATGCTGAGAACCCAGCTGTGATGTAGTGAATAATTTAAGAAGTCTTTTTTCATCTTAGTTTTTGTAACTCCCACCAAACAACTCTTTCCTAATGGGTCTGGTGAAAAGCAGTGAGAGAATTTGCTGATAGGATGACATGATTTAGCTGTGCATATTAACAAAGTTAACTGCGATTATAAAATCTTGAAACTCTAGCATGGGTATAAAATGGCCATCCTGGTAATGTGAGTAGGCTGTGGACTTCTTTGCTTGGCTAATTAAGCTCGCCTTCATCTGACCTCTGATTCTTGGGACTTGAGCCAGCAGCCTGACCTGATTTGCCAGCTCCCACAGTCTTGTGTTCAAGAGCAAAGTGTTACAAGTATTCAAGAGCAAAGATATCAGTTTGAGGACTAAAGTGTGCCTGACCCAAGCCATGGTATTTTCAATAGCCTCATATGCCTGTAAGGAATTCTGGTGTGGCACTGCGGGTTTATGCGCTGGGCTGCAAGATGGGTTTGAACCACAAGGTCGGCAGTTCAAACTCACCAGCTGCCCCTTGGAACTGTGAGTCGGAACTGACTTGATGGCACTCAACAACAATGTATGCATGTGGAAGTTGGACAGTGAATAAGGAAGACCGCAGAAGAATTGATCCACTTGAGTTATGGTGTTGGACGAGACTATTAATGGTACCATGGACTGCTAAGAGAACAAACAAATCTGTGTTGGAAGAAGTACAACCAGAATGCTCCTTAAAAGCTAGGATGACCAAACTTCACCTCTCATACTTTGGACATATTATCAGTAGGGACCTGTTCCTGGAGAAGGATATCATACTTGGCAAAGTGGAGGGACAGAGAAAAAGAGGGAGACCCCTAAAGATATAGATTGGCACTGTGGCTGCAACAATGGGTTCAGGTATAGCAGAAATTGTGAAGACCGGGCATGTTTCATTCTGCTGTACATAGGGTCTCTATGAGTCAGCTTAGACTCAACAGCAGTTAACAACAACAATAACACAGCCTTGTGGGTCACTCTTGCATGAGTGAGGAGAATCCTCCAGACTGACATCTGAATGGAAGATTTAAGACTTGTCAGCCTCCGCAACCATTTGAGCCATTTCCTTGAAGCCCCATGAGTTCTGTGTGACACTGTAGCAACTGCAGAACCTTGGAACATGAGGAAATACTGAGGGGAGGAGTAGCGGTTGATATCAGGAATTACGGAATCTCAGGCAGTTCAGGAAAGCCGTACAACTGGGATGTCTTTAACCTCACCTCATAGGGACCAGCCTTGTGATCTCTCTAAAAGAAACTAGTGTTGCATTCACTGAACTGTGCTTAGACTGCTGCCGACACACAGAAACTGTGGCATAATAAATGTTCATTGTTTTCAGTCATTACATTTGTAGTACTTTTTATGTAGCATAGAAGAACAAAGCAACAGCCTTAATTACATTAGAATAGATCTAATTTTAATGATCTACACTTCTACTTTAAGAAGTGAGAAAACCTCCTTCCAAGACTAAGACTCAATGGGAATACACGCTGTGATTGGTGACCACGCTCGACACCGATAAGGGGAAATGAGGGAAAAACAGCAATGAAGC